GGTCATCTTCTACTGCTTTCCCAGGCCATAGCAGAGAGCTGGTCAGAAGTGGAACAGCTGGGACTAGAACCAGTGCTTATATGGGATGCTGGCACTGCAGGCTGCGGTTTTACCCACTATACCACAGTACTGGCTCCCAAGTAAATTAAAAAAAAATTTTTTTTTGTGGAGGGACCAGGTTGTGGAGCAGTGGGTTAAATCCCCACCTATGATGCTGGCATCCCATTGGTTCAAGTCCTGGCTGCTCTGCTTTCAACCCATCTCCCTGCTTATGACCTGGGAAAGCAGGGGAGATGATTCAAGTGTTTGGGCCCCTGCACCCACATGGGTAACTTGGATGGAGGCCTGGGCTCCTGGCTTTGGCGTGGCCCAGCCCTGGCCATTGCAGTCATCTGAGGAGTGACCCAGTGGCTGGAAGATTGATCTCTATCAGTCTGCCTTTCAAATAAAATAAATGTATTTTTAAAAGTTCATGGAAAATTGAATTAAGGAAGCTTATTTTGGTGCACAAATGTTTGAAATCCATGCATAGATTTTTCACCACGCACATCACTATGAAAATATTGAGGGTTTTTTGAGCTTATGGATTTCAACAGTTTTCTGCATCAAAGCAACCTTTTGATTCCATTTCCCTCCTCATACAAGCCGGCATCAGGCACCTGTGGTGAGAACAACCGTCCATTTCCAGTTCTCCTAACTTCAGGGGAAGCTGTCTGTCGGGGTTAGGGCTGGAGTCCTCTGTGCCTCTCTCTTGCTAATGGGTCTTGGGCTCGCAGCATGTGACTCTGAAGTATCCAACTAGGTTCTAAGAATGTTATTTTGGTTTCCAATGGTCCCAGCTCTCTTCCTTGAAAGTGATTTAAATTTATTTGGTAAGTAAATACACCTAAGCCTAAAAGTCAATCAATTTAGGCTGGTGCCGTGGCTCACTAAGCTAATCCTCCACCTGTGGTGCCAGCACCCTGGGTTCTAGTCCTGGTCAGGGCACTGGATTCTGTCCCTGTTGCTCCCCTTCCAGGCCAGCTCTCTGCTGTGGCCCGGGAGTGCAGTGGAGGATGGCCCAAGTGCTTGGGTCCCCGCACCTGCATGGGAGACCAGGAGGAAGCACCTTTTTCCTGGCTTCGGATCGGTGCAGCGTGACGGCTGTAGCAGCCATTTGGGGGTGAACCAACAGAAGGAAGACCTTTCTCTCCGTCTCTCTCTCTCTCTCACTGTCCACTCTGCCTGTCAAAAAAATAAGTCAATCAATTTAAAAAACAAAAAACCCCAAACGACTGAAGACACGTCTTCTGCTGGCTCATTCCCCTCAGCCTGCTGTTTCTCTCTCTGGTCATTAAGTCCTGAGTGCTGTCGGTAGTTGCCATCTGACCGTCGTCTTTAGTGCTGCTGGTGGTAGTCATCTGACTGTCATCCTTAGTGCTGCCAATGGTCGCCATCTGACCATTGTCCTTAGTGCTGTCGGTGGTCGCCATCTGACTGTTGTCCTTAGTGCTGTCGATGGTCATCATCTGACTGTCGTCCTTAGTGCTGTCGATGGTCGCCATCTGACTGTCGTCCTCAGTGCTGCTGGTGGTAGTCATCTGACCGTTGTCCTTAGTGCTGTCGCTGGTTGCCATCTGACCATCGTCCTTAGTGCTGCTGGTGGTCGCCATCTGACCATTGTCCTGACTGCCTGCCCCAGGCAACGTCAGTAGGCTGTAGCGTGACCAGATGGAGGTGCTGCATCCGAGGGCTCCTCCCTGGCACCGGGCAGCTAGGGCTGGGCAGCTGCATGGGAGCTGCCTCTCTGCCTGCCTGGCAAGTAAACAGATTTTTAACAGTTTCAATGGAATTAAAATAAGCTGAGTTTGGTGTAAAAAAGGTGAAACCCATGCATAGTGTTTGTTATGATGCTCACTCTCCATGAAAGTTTTGAAGAGCCCTCATATGCATGCATGGATTTAAAACTATTTTCTTGCCTCAAAATAACCAGTTCATTCCATCTCTGTGGACTTTTTGAAGTCCCCTGGTACAGATGGCATTCGCGGCAGAGCCGGAGGGTGATGCTGCTGCCGGCATCTGGTGAGTGGCGGCCAGGGGAGACGTTAAACTCCCACAGTGCCCAGGGCAGCCCCAAGAGCAATCCAGCCCAGGCCAGGGGAGACGTTAAACTCCCACAGTGCCCAGGGCAGCTCCAAGAGCAATCCAGCCCAGATGCTGGAGACTCTAAGGACGACAACCCCGTGTCTGGGGTCCTTCAGCCAGCTCAGTATTCCCCAAAGAGGCCTGACCTTGGGATCCAGAGACCCCAGCCTCAGTCCCCCCATCCAACAGACGGGAAGGCTGAAGCCTGCCTTGTCTGCTGTGCTGTCTCCTGGTAGCTGAGCCTCCCGGCCGCTTTCCTGTCTGAGGCTCCCCACGCTGGTGTCCTGTGCCCCCTCCATGTCTTCTCCTTGTGGAGCCCATCCAGAGTGGCCTCTGGAGCCAGTTAGCCACCATCTGCCACGTGCAGAGGGAGGGCGGCAGAGGGGATGCCTGGCAGCGTCCGGCACCAGCAGCCAGCGTCCCCGTGGGAGCACTCGGTGGCCCCGTGACTCCTCTTCCGAGTGCAGCTGTGATTTTACTTCTCCCTCGGGCCTCTGCTCTGGAGAGCAGACACTGCACGGTGCCCGGCGCAGAACAGGCTGTGCCCAGTAGGAAGAGTGAGCAGCGGGGAGAGGACAGGTTGAGGGGACAGATGTGCCAGAGCAGGGAGAGAGAGGAAAGGAACAAGAGAGGGGTGCAGAGGGAGGCTGGTGACAGGTGGGGTCGCGGAACAAGGCTGGCCAAAGGGGTGGAGACGAAGATGCAATGGACGCCGGGAAGCAGGGACAGCCAAGGGCTGGGCAGGGAGACATCTCCCTGTGGCTGGATGCGCGTGTGGTTTCCATGGAGACAGGGATGCTCCAGGCGTGAGCAGAAACAGCTGTGGAGCGGGCGCCCCCTGTGGCCGCTGGGGAGAGGAGTTAGGGGCGGTGGTCGCTGCTGACACTGCTTCTGTCCCCTGCCCCAGTAGAGGCGTGGGTGGGCCCCATCCCCACCATGGAGTCCCAAGGGTCTGGCCAGGAGCTGTGCGGGGGCGGGTGGCTAAGCCTGAGCCCTTCGTCATTAGCACAGGATTCAACCCCAGAGCCCGAGTGATGCACGAGTGCTCCCAGCCCCTTCCTCGGTGTCTGGTGGGGGGACTGTCAACCTCGCTCTGCTCCTTGGCCACCCTGGCTCTTTCCCACCGCAGGAGAGAGGAGCAGGCCGAGCCCTGGGCCCCTTCCCACCATGGGGACAGGTGGGCAGTGGGCAGAGCTGACCACACGCCCACGTGATGAATCCATATGAAGTGACCCATGGGCTTGGCATGAAGTCAAGGGCTCCTTGGCTCCCCCCAGGGCCCTTCAGGGTCTCTGAACATCCAGCAAGATGCCCGACTCTGGTGGGAGCTCCCTGCAGGGCCCGGGGCTGCAGCAGGTGGGCAGACGCAGCTCCTGGGCACCAGGCTCCCTGCCGGCCCTCGAGCAGCGTGTGGTGCCTGTGTCTCAGCCAGTCGCTGAGGAGTGGGTCCTGGCTTCTGGGCTCAGAGCTGGGCCACCACCCTGTGAGCATCCAGGCCGGGGCTGGGGGCGGGTGCTAAGGAGGAAAGCCGTGAAGCTGCACTGGCTCCCGGTCTCCCTCTGGCCACCTCTGCCTCTCTGGTCTGAAACCAGCTCCTCATTATGTCATTATTAGTTCATTGTCACAGCTGGCCTCGTAGTAACAGCTAATCTGGGGCCTACTGTACCAAGCACTTCACTTTGCTGCCACCTGTCACCTTCGTGTCACCCGATACCACCCTCTCCCCATTTTACAGACAAGAAACAAGCTTGACAGTCCAGGGGAGCAGTGTGCGAGGTTCAGCTGTTAAGACGCCTTGGCAGGCCTGCGCCACCTGCACTGCCAGCATCCCATATGGGCGCTGGTTCAGGTCCCGGCTGCTCCACTTCCAATCCAGCTCCTTGCTAATGCACCTGGGAAAGGAATGGAAGTTGGCCCAAGTGCTAGGGTCCCTGTCAGCTACATAAGAGTCCTGGAGGAAGCTCCTGGCTCCTGGCTCTAGCCTAGCCCAGCCCCAGCCATAGCAGCCCTCTGGGAAGTAAACCAGTGGATGCAAGATTCTCTCTCTCTCTCCTTTCGCTCTGTAACTCTGCCTTCTAAAGAAATGCATGAATATATTTGAAAAAAAAAAAAAGGTGCCTGGGGACATGTGCAGCCCATATAGAAGTGCCTACCTTGGCTGTTGGGGGACATTTAGGGAGTAAAACAGCAGATGGAAGAATTCTGTCTTTGCCTTTCAAATAAAAATAATTTTAAAAAGCCAAGGACCGTTCTCAAGGTCACACCTGTAGGAAACAGCTGAGCTGGGATCTGCTGCCTGGCCTTGCACACCAGTTTGACAGCGCACGCTTCCCCCTACACTAAGCTCCACGCGGCTGCAATCCCAGCACCTCCAATGGGCACCACCTGAGTGAGTGCCTGGCCCATGACCAGAACCACCTGCGAGGCAAGGAGTGTGTTTCCCACCAGAGAGACTCGGGCAGGCCTATGGGTTTGTGGTTGGCGAAGCCTCCAGGGATGTGGAGCTGAAAGAGTGGAAGAACCTGGCTGTGCCCCTTCACCCCACTGCCAATGCCCCCCAAAGTCTGCTGGGGGAAGATAACGGGTTTTCAGCATCTCCTATGAGCAGACAACAGCACCCAGGGCACATATGTTGAATGAATGAAAATATAAAAAAGAAAAAAAATAAGATTGAGGAGGAAGGGAGGGGGCAATCCTGTCCAGGGGCTAGAGGGAGCTGAAAGGGAGGTGCCTGGGGCTTGTTTTGGGGGAGGGGGCCTTGCTCTTTTCTCACTGTCCAAGTGTGGGCTGCGGGTGGAGTGGGAAGCCTGGGGTCCCGAGGCTCTGGGAAGTCACAGCGTTCTCTCTGCCCTCCTCACCGCGGCGGCCCTCCCTAGCTCTGTGCCTCGTGCTGGGCTGCATGATCTTCCCCGACGGCTGGGACGCCGAGACCATCCGGGACATGTGTGGGGCCAAGACGGGGAAGTACTCACTTGGGGACTGTTCGGTGCGCTGGGCCTACATCCTGGCCATCATCGGCATCCTCAACGCCCTCATCCTCTCCTTCCTCGCCTTCGTTCTGGGCAACCGGCAAACAGACCTGCCCCCCGAGGAGCTCAAACAGGAGAACAAAGGCAAGTGCGGGCCAGCGGGCAGGCGGGTGGGCGGGACCCTGGCTGCAACTGGTAGCACACTGATGCAAATCGGGAACTCCTCTGGAAAACGCTTTGATGTTATCACTCACACCTGTCTGTGCCGGCAGACCCGCCTGGTGGGGGGTGGGGGAGGATAAGCCCAGGAGAAAAGCTCAGGAATGCTGGGAGACAGCCGACAGGAACCGAAACCTAGACAGAGGCGTAGACAGGCTCAGGTGCCTAGCGCACAGGAGCGGTGCATCCTGGGAACTCGCACCAAGAGGAAAATCCCAAGGTCTGGACGCAGGGATCTCTTTTTATTGAGCTCAAACCCCAGCAGTGTGTTCAAACAACACTTAATTATGGTAGTATTACATGTGTGTGCATGTGGTTTTTTTTTTTAAAGAAACGATAAACCCCAAACACAAAATAGTGGTTATTTGTGATTGGGCTCAGAGAGGAGGGAGCCGGAGGTGGGCGTGCACGCCTCTTCAGGACAGTCGGCTTTGTCACTGCACATCACGCATGGACGTTTGTCTGTATCAAGCGACATTAGAGGGTGATACAGAAAACATTCACACATAGGCCAGAGCTCCTGGGGTAGCCGCTGTGCCCGGAGCCTTCCGGCGCCTCTCCACCAGGGATGAGCGAGCAGAGTGGATTTAACTAGGAGGGTGCAGGCTTTCGCAGTTCCTGAGGAAGATGGAAGTAAATAGTGTCTCTAAGAAGGTTAGCACAAAGATTATTCAGGGTGGGCTGCGAGTGACCCAGCCCTGGCCAACACGACCCGGAGACCAGGTGAGTGTCCCCTGGGGGTCTGGTCCAGCTGGACTTTCTGTGTTCCAGGTGAGCATGCGCTGGCTTGGCTCGCAAAGGTGGGCTCTAGGTGAGCAGGGTGGGGTGGGGTGGGGGAGTGACCCTCTCACCGGTGGGCTGCTGCCGGGTTTTCGGGAGGGCCTTTGTGGGACCAGGTGAGCGGTGTAGGTAAGGAGCTGAGGGTTGCTCCAGGCTGCCCGGGTGGCTAAGACCACGCGGACCCCACGTGCACACCGCCAGGTCGAACTGCCTGCCAGGACAAACAGCCCAGCCCCTGCCAGGCAGACGGGGCTCGGCAGGTGTTTCTGGTGCGTGCCGAGCAGGCTTCACCACTGCTACAGCGAGCGTGCACAAGCCTTCCCATGCACACGTGCAAGGGTGCTCTCGGTCCATGCAGAAGACAAGCTGCGTGCTCAAAACCTGAGTGCAAGCCGGCCGTCCAAGGGGTGGTGCCCGGAGGACAGGTGCCTGTCCGGGTGCCCTGGTGTCCGTGTGTGATGCTCACGGTCGCAGCCTTCCCTGAGCTGTTAGCCTGCGCTAACGGGTTCCATCTATGAAGGAGACCACGGGGGCCCCGTGTCAGCCCATTTGGCTGGAAGTGGCCTAGAATGGGGCTGAGCTTGGAAGTGACTTCACCTTGAGCCTCAGTGTCGCTCCCCCTCTTCGTGGAGGAACGACACAGGACCCTGCGCTGTTCTTTTGTCTGCTCGGCCCTTCCCGGGTTTGCTGCTGGTCCTTCCCGGGTTGGCTGCCGATCCTTCCACCTCCGTGGAAGGGCGGCTCCCCCTGCCACTTTCCCCACTTCTGCGGGGGAGTGGCACACCGCCGGCCGGCTCTCTCGGGGGCTGCTCAGATGTTATCCGGATGTTCCTGGTGCATGTTGTCTCTCTCCTCCTTTATAGTCCTCTTCCACCAATCCCAACTCTGCTACCCACACGCCGAGTACGCTGCTCTCCTCCAATCAGGAGCAGGTCCTGCTGTTTATTGGTTGAACTGGAGGCAGCTGTGTAGAAGTTGTTTCCTCCTCTCCCAGCGCCATATTGTGGGAGAGCAGATGCATAGAATAAGTCTTAATTCCAGCAACTTAGTCTAGTCCGAGTTGCTCCCCACACCTCAGGTTCCTGCCCCTCGCGGTACAGGGTCTTGGGAACAGCGAGGCTGTCAGGAAGGAGGGCAGGAGGGCCGAGCCTGCAGCGCCAGAGGGTCCGGCACGTGGTGCGGGCCTGCCAGCTCCCCTCCAAGCAGGCCTCCAAGGAGGGAGCAAGCCTGGATTCCCAGTGCAGAACTTGAACCCAGGTCCAAGTCCAAAACCCAAGCTCTTCACTGTCTTGGGCCAGTGATGCCACAGACCACTGCCCCCAGCGTGGGACCCTCCTGGGTGGCTGCTGGGCTAAGCTGCTCTTCCCAGAAGCCCCTTCTGATGGAGCTGGGGAGGGGGTGCCTCTGTAGCCTTGGTGGGAGAACAGGGCTTGACTGTGCTGGCAGCTTCCCCAAGTGCAGAGCGGGGGCTCAGATGAACTGGGAGCCCCAGACCCCGAGCTGGGAGGGCACAGAGCGTGTGGCTGCGTCTGCAGTGGGTCCTGCCTGGGCGCCCACTCACGCCCAGGACTTGGCTGGCGTCGGCTGTCCCTGTGAGGCAGGCTCAGCTCCCCACTGCACGGGTGAGGACCTGGGGCTGAGATCTCCATGGCTGGGATCCCACAGCCCTGCGGTTCACCATGTGGCAGGGTGGCCGCCTGATGTCCTCCACTTCTCTCTCTCTCTCTCAGATTTTGTGGGCTCCACAGTAAGCTCCGTGCTGCGGCCAGGGGGTGACGTCTCGGGATGGGGAGTGCTCCCCTGCCCTGTGGCCCACTCCCAGGGGCCCTGAAGGCCAGGATCACAGCCCGGGAATTGACCTGACCTCGGCCTGTCCTGGCTCTGGCCCTCTCGTCCCTCCACTCAAGCTCCCAGGGAAGACTCCATCGCAGACTGGCTTCTCACCTGCGGCTTCTGGTTGGAAGAGAGGCTGGAGCCGGGGTGCGGCCCGGGGCGTGGGAGAGGCCCTGGAGAACCTTGGAGGGCCTGATTCTGGCTCCTGCCTCGGTCTGACCTGCGGGGGCCTGAATCCCACCCCCCAAGACCTGCAAGTTTCTCCTCTGCTCTGCAGTCAGGCCTGGAGGCCCCCGCAGGTCCCCGGGGGAAGGGGGTCCTGTGGCTGCGGCTCCCAGGTTCCCCGTCTCCTGCAGAAATGTATTCCAGACACTGCCCCAGGTGGGCTGGACTCTTGGCTACTTTTTCTTTTCTTTTCTTTTCTTTTCTTTTCTTTTCTTTTCTTCTCTCTCTCTCTTTTTTTTTTTTTTTTTTTTTTTTTTGCCGATGTTGGTTTCACTGCATCTGCCAACAGAGCTCCAGGTGCCACCAGCCTTCCGGGGGCCACCTGAGCCTGTCCCAGCCTGCTCCCAGCTCTCCCAAAGGAGTCTGTGCCACACCTAGGGAGAGTGCACAGGGCCTGTCTGTCCACTGCAGCCCAGGCCCCGATCAGCCAGAGCCTCAGAACACAGGCTATGGAGCAGCGGGGCAGGCGAAGGGCCAAGCCGGCTGGAGCTGTGGACGCTGCCCTGCCTGGGGCCAGCCTGGCCTCCTGGCTGCCAGGGTGAGTCACTGGCAGACCCTTGTCCCTGGCCGGTTTTGTACGGCACAGAAGTGGCCTCACTGTCAGGGTTGGGTTTTGGGGAGGGGGCCCACTGGTAGGGAACTAGGGCTGCGTCACCCTTCTGCCCCTCTCTTGCCCCCGCACTTGGGCCTGTGCCAAGGGCAGAGACTCTCTTGCCTCTTTGATACTTTTCTGTGTAACTTGAACTTGCAGGTCACCTCTGAACAGGGTACCCCCTGTCCCCTTCCCAGGCCTTGTTATCCCATCCCTGCCTCTTCCTCCTCCTTGCCCACCTCTGGCCTTGCGACCTGCCCAGGGCCTGCAGCCTGATGGGCAGTGCTTGGAGCTGAGGCACGAGTGTGCGTGCGTGCCCTAGAGTGTGTGTGTGTGTGAGTGCATATCTGTGTGCTTGTGTGTGCCAGTGCATGCCTGCTTGTGTGTGAGTGTGTGCTTGAGTGTATGTGTGCGTGCAAGTGTGTGCGTGAGTGTATGAGTGCCGGAGTGTGCGTGTGTGAGCACACGCGTGTGAGTGCCATCGGAGACAGATGAGAAGTCCTCTCGCCCTCTCCTCCCGCGGCGGGACGTCTCCCTCCCCCTGGGCCGGGAGCGACTGTGTTGGGGGTGGGGGTGGGGGTGGAATGCTGTGGTGTTTCCGGAACACCCGCATCACCTTGTGCATTCCGCAGCAGAGGCAGAGCCCGCAGCCCTCTCCACACTGGGGAAGGTGCCACTGCCCGCTGTCCGCAGGAGCGTGGCGCCCCCTGCAGGCTGCACGGGGACACAGCTGTCCGTGACCTTGGCCTTAGCCGCAGGGGACAGCAGCTTCAGGGGCATGCACTTGCCAACCTTGTGCTCATTTCCATAGGACTTGGGCCTGAGAATTAGGATTTCCCAGAAAGCCCCGTCTCTGCCCGTGTGCCCCACCCGGGCCCTAACCGGAATCACACGCTGGGTCCCTGTGGGATGTGTCAGACCTGGAAGTTACTAAAGTCCTGACACTCCCTTTCCACTACACTCTGGCCCCTGGCTGGGGCTAGGGGCACCAGAGTCCCTTGTTAAATGGTGGTAAGGGGGACAGGAGTAAGCTCCTGGGAGTCAAACCAAAGGCCAGTGCTGGAGGGGAGGGCAGAGGACAGAGTGAGGGGAGGGACCAAGAGCCAGGGCTTAGGAATGGGGAGGGAAGGGGGGAAGGTGGGGAGGGAGGTCAGACATGGGAGGAGAAGAGAGAAGAGCCAGAGTGGGCAGCAGGAAGGACGCAGAGCTGGCTGATGGACAGAGAGAGGACTAGATGCTGGAGTGGCAAGCTGCAGCGCCAGACCCGGGCTCGGGGCGAAGGCGAGGGGAAGAGGAGTGAGGCTGGGTGCGGGGCAGTGGGAGAGCAGCTGCTGCCCGGACAGCAGCTGAGTGGCTGAGCGGTGAGCATCCCCCAAGGATGCCTCTTGCCCTAGGGGGCCACCTGACCTGGAGCCCGGCGGCCACAGCCCTGTCGCTTTGTGGAGGATCGGGGTGTGGAAGCCATATCAGAGTGTGCAGGGGACCTGTGTCCAGGTGACAGGAGGAAGGGTCAGTGCCAGGCGGCAGAGATGGAGCCTGACCACGTTTCCAGGCCACCATTTCCACTCCAGCTGCTGTCTGGGCAGGGCAGCCTGGAGGTGCGCCAGGGAGTTTGGGGCTGGGAGCCCCCCCAGGTGAGCTGAAGTCTGCGGGGACCCCAAGGTAATGTTGCAGTGGGGCAGGTGACAGAGCCTGAGCCCGGACCCCGGGCCCTGACAGCCCTCCAGAGTGGCCCTGGGAAAGTGGCGTTGGGGCGCGCCCTGACCCGAGGCAGGGGAATGGCTCTGGCCGTGGGGAGGAGCGAAGCAGAGCACCGTCTCCATCGCTGGCCGCAGGAGGATGACTGGAGCGCTCTGCCCGCTTCTCTCGCACTTCCGCAGCCACAAGCTGGATGTGGCTCGTTCCCTGGCCCCTGGTGCTGGGCCAGTCCTTTGGGGCCTCTGGCAACGTGAAGATGTTCCTTTCGAGGACGAGCAGCCGTGGAGGGGGTGAGAGTGTTGGGTGGGACCGAGGGGCCTGGGATAGCCGAGGACATGAGCTTCTGGACTGGGCTATGGGGAAGAGCCCCTGCCTGGGGGACTTGGCCTTGCCCAGCTCCCGGTGTGGACTGACAGGGACCCTTCTGTGGAGAAGCTGGGATCTCTGCCGCACAGGAAGCCTGCAGACCCCTGCGTGGCTCAGGGCGGGCTTCTGGGAGGGACTGACCGGAGGTCGCTGAGGGGCAGCAGGGGGCCACCGTCACTAGGCCCGTCACGAGGATGGCTCGCCTCGTCTAGCCTGTTAGTTCTGTCTGAATGCGTCCTCGCTGTTCATCGTCCAATTTGGTAACGTTTATTTTGGTCCTGACCCCTTCTGCTGCTGCTGGATCTGAGCTTCAGTGCCGGTGGAATGATGTTCAAATAAAGAAACACTTTGTATCACCCACGCTGGCTGCTGCTTCTCTGTGTCCGGCCTCTGGGCGACCTGGCGACCCCTCCTCTCAGGGTTGGCCGCACACATAAAGTACTGCCGTGGCATAACAAGAGAGCTGCAAACGTGATCACGTTAGAAAACAGACACTAACAAGACCCTGGCGCAGTCTGGCCGTGACGGATATGGCCCAGAGTCTTGTCAGGAACCCAGGCTCCCCCGCAGCCCTAGGTGCTCCAGGTGCCTGCTCCACGGTCCGCTGGGAGGAGACGTCTGAACCCCCACACGACTGGAAGGGAGGGTGGAAATGCAGGTGCCAACCCAAACTACGCTGGGGTCTGCTACCAAGGGGGCTGGACGGGAGAGAGGGTGTGGGCAGGGGACCGCAGCCCACGAGGCTTCACACGGTCTGCCCACGTGGTCCTGGACAACTCACTTCACTTCTGTCAAAACCCTGTGAGTGGGGTCGGTGCTGTGGTGTAGTGGGCTAAGCCTCTGCCTGCAGCACCAGCATCCCATGTGGCCCCAGTTCGAGTCCTGGCAGCTGCTTTTCCCATCCAGCTCTCTGCTATGGCCTGGGATAGCAGTAGAAGATGGCCCAAGTTCTTGGGCCTCTAAGCCTACATGGGAGACCTGGAAGAACCTCCTGCACCTGGATTCAGATCAGCTCAACTCCAGCCATTAAGGCCATTTTAGGAAGTGAACCAGCAGATGGAAGACCTTTCTCCTCTCTCTGTCTGTAACTCTACCTCTCAAATAAATAAATATTTCAAAAAACAAACAACCGCGAATGGTAGGGACAGCACAGTGAGGTGGGAAGCGCAGGTGGCAGGCCTGGGGACAGCTCAGGGGGGCATCTGGCACACTGTGAAGTGCCCCTCGTGGTCGCCACAACAACCATTTCTACATTGAGAATTGTCTTTCTTAAAAAAAAAAAAAAAACTTATTTAAGGCAGAGATAAAGAGAAAGAGGAGATAAGTCATCCATCTGCTGGTTCACTCCTCAAATGGCTACCACGGCCGACGCCAGGCCAAAGTCAAGAGTCAGGAGTTTCTTCTGGGTCTCCCATGTGGATGCAGGGGCCTAAGGACTTGGGCCATCTAATGCTGCTTTCCAGGCACATTAGCAAGGAGCTGGATTGGAAGTGGAGCAGCTGACACTCGAACTGGCACCCATACGGGATGCTGGCACTGCAGACTGCAGTTCAACCTTGTACGCCACAGCACCGGCCCCAAGGATTGTCTCAGCATATTCTGAACATCTACTGTGTGAGAAGCATTTATACTAGGAAAACAAAACAAAACAAACCGGACTTTCCCCTAAGTATAAACCTGGCTGAGGAGTTGAACAGGGGAGAACATGGTGGCCCTGGTGGGGACACGAGCTCTGCACGGTGTTTGCTGGGGTGCGTGGAGCAGCTTTCAGTATGCACTGAGGAGGGTCGGGAAAGAGAAGGCAGGGGCTGGCGCTGCGCTGTGGCGGGCAGACACTGCCTGCAACAGCATCAGCATCCCGCATGGGCACTGTTCATGTCCTGGCTGCTCGACTTCTGCTCCCACTCCCTACTCAGGGCCTGGGAAAAGCAGTGGAAGATGGCCCACGTGCTTGGGCCCCTGCCATGCATATGGGGGACCCAGAAGAAGCTGCTGGCTTTGGCCTGCCCTGGCCCCAGGGAGTTACCAGCAGATAGAAGATCTCTTTATGATTCTCCCTCTGTCTCTATAACTCTTACAAAATAAATACACCTGAGAAAGCGAGCGAGAGGAAGGAGACATAAGTGTGTGTGGAGAATTGAAAGCAGGCAGGGCCCAGGGCCAGCTCACGACACAGGTCAGAGGCTGTGGACATGCGAACGGACTTCAGGGCAGTGGAAACTCACAGGATGTGGAGCAGGACAGAGTCACATTTTAGAGACCTCTCTGGTGGCCTAGGGACCTGGACTGGAGGGAGACAGAGCCAACAAAGGGGAGGCCAGAAGCCTGGCCTGGGGCAGAGAGAGGGGAGACAGCTGGAGCTCAGGTTCAAGTGCAGAGGAAACTGGCAGTTGACTGAGGTGGCACCAGGAACTGTCACAGCTCTTGCTTGGGGCACTGGAAAGATACGTCCTCACAGCAGGGGAGCAAGACACCCGGCTCAGCCTGACCTGTCTGGACTTCAAGGTGGACGCAGGACACCCTGCTGAGCCAGTCGGAGGTCAGCTGACCTACATCGGCTTGGACGCTCAGGACAAAGTTGGGGTTCAGATGCATCAGCGCATAGCTGGTGGTCGGACTCAGGCACAGACGGAGCAGCTCAGGGTGACCGTGGAGCGTGGAGGGCAGGGGCCTGTGGGCCACAGCACAAAGGAGACACACAGGAATGGATGCCCACAGGGGAGAGACCTCCAGGGCTCTGGGGAGGAAGCAAGAGCCTGCTGTCATGGAAACCAAGGATTTCCCTAGTGTTCAAGGGAAAAGTCACCAAATGGAGCAAAGGGGCTTAACAATGTGTGCACTGGAGAGGGGAGCAAGGAGACCAGAAGCAAGGTCGTTTACTCTGAGAGAATAAGGATGTCTTGTGTAGGGGGCTGAGGGCAGCAATGAGTGTGGAAGGGTCCTAAAGAGGCTAGGGATACAATGAAAGTTTGACCAGCGGCTGCCAGGCTGCAATGACAGCATAGGAAGGAGGCAGGGAGAAGGCAGACCACACCTTGACAGGTGGGCCGGCCGTCCCAGGAGTACCAGATTCACCTGCCTGTTGAAACGAGGAGCCTGGAATGGGGCCAGCACAGAGAACACAGAGGTACTGAAGGACTCGAGTTCAGCCGACAGCTGGCAGGGCAGGAACCGGACAGCAGGCCTGGATAGAAGGTTCTGAGATGACAGCACTCTGCTTAGCATGTCCACCCGAGTGTGGGGAAAACGGCTGAACCTGAGGTGGAGGGGAAGACTGGCCTAAGCTGTCCAAGGATCAGAGTGGACAGAAGTGAACGGGCAGCAGCAGCAAGGGCAGGTGGGCATTTGGTGCAGCCATTAAGACCCTGCTTGGAACACTGACACCCCCTCTTGGAGTGTCTGGGTTTGAGTCCTGGCTCTGCTTCCAATTCCAGCTTCCTGCTGGTGCAGAGAGCTGGAGTTCTCAGCTCCTGGCTTTGGCATGGCCCAGTTCCAGCCATGACAGGCACTGGGCAAGTGAACCAGGGGATAGTGGCTCTCCATATCTGTCTCTGGACCTTTCAAACAAACACATAAATATTTCCTAAAAAGCAACAGCGGTGGAGAGACTGAGAGGATGCAGTAACTGGAGTAGGAAATGTTTTAAAAGATTTATTTTTTGAAAGAGTTAGAGAGAGAGAAGAGGGAGAGGTGAGACTCTTCCATCTGCTGGTTCACTACCTAAATGGCCACAACGGGCTGAAGCCAGGAGACAGGAGCTGCTTCTTTTTTTTTTTTTTTTTTTTTTTTTTTTTTTTTAATTTTTGACAGGCAGAGTGGACAGTGAGAGAGAGAGACAGAGAGAGAAAGGGCTGCTTCTTGTTCTCGCACGTGTGTGCAGTTGCCCAAGCTCTTGGGCCATCTTCCACTCCAGCGTGGGATGCGAGTGTTCCAAGCGGCACACGGACCACCACACCAAATACCGGCCCAGAAGCTGAATCTGAAGGTAATGTTTGGCCTTGTAAAATGAGTTTGGATGCATTTCTTCCTCTTCAACCATTTTTCGAAGAGTGTCAGGACGGAAATTCTTCTTTGAGAAGCACAGAGACAGCATCAGGTGGAGACAGCAAGTGCCTGAAGCCAGGAGCTGGGGACTCTTTTAACTCAGGGCAGGTCTCTCAGGTGGGAGGCAGAACCCAGGGACCTCCTTGACCCACGGCTGTTGCCTCCCAGGATCTGCACTGGCAGATACAGATGGGGCTCGGGAGTCACAAATGGTGTTCCAACTGCTAGCATACATGCCTACCCCTTTAATTAATTGAGAGAGAAATTGAGATACTCCTCTCTCACAACTCACCAGCATAGCCATCAGGTCCTGGACTTTTTCCTAATGGGAGATTTACATTAATGCTCTAATCTTCCTACTTGTTATTTGCCTGTTTCAGATTTTCTGCTTCATTATCCGAACTTGGTAACTTGTTTCTAGGAACTGATTAATTTCTTCTAGGTTATCCGTAGTCTCATGAGCCTGTGCTACGTCTGGAACGTTAGCTCTCAAGTCTCCATTTGATTTGAATATTCTTTTTTCTTTTAAAGATTTATTTATTTATTTGAAAGTCAGAGTTATACAGAGAGAGAAGAGGCAGAGAGAAGCAGAGAGAGAGAGAGAGAGAGAGAGAGAGAGAGAGAGAGAGAGGCCTTCCATCCCATTTTCACTCCCCAATTGGCTGCAATGGCTGGAGCTGTGCAGATCCGAAGCCAGGAGCTTCTTCTCAGTCTCCCACGTGGATTCGGGAGCCCGGGACTTAGACCATCTTCCACTGCGTTCCCAGGCCGCAGCAGAGAGCTGGATGGGAGAGGAGCAGCCGGGACCCACATGGGATGCTGGCGCTTCATGCCAGGGCGTTAACCCACTGCGCCGGCTCCCCTTCTTTTTTCTTAGTCGAGCTAAAGGTTCGTAATTTTGTGTATCTTCAGAAAAAAAAAATGTTATTTTCTAGTTTTTATCAATTTATGCTCTTATCTTTGTTGTTTGCTTTTTTGGTCTACTAATTTTGGGTTTCAAAATTTGTTATTTTCTACTTCCTTGAGGTATAAACTGAGACAGGAGGTCTTTACTGCTATAAATTTCTCAGGATGGCTTTTGCAGTCTTGGAACTTTGGTAGGCTGTCATTCCATGTTCATTTATTTCCAAATATACTCTGATTATCCTTTTGATTTCTTTGACCTGCTGTCTGTCCAAGAGCATGTGGTTTAATTTCCACGTGTCTCTGACCTTTTTTTTTTTTTTTTTGGTCCTGTTACTGATTTTTTTAAAATTTTTTTTAAAGATATATTTATTTATTTGAAAGAGTTAAGAGGAGAGGCAGAGAGAGAGGTCTTCCATCTGATGGTTCACT